GAAGTGGACAAGGAGAAATAGAATTAGAAACAGAAGACAAGAGTGACAAAGACCTCCTTCAACACTACCTCTGCTTGTTAATCGTCTGCCCACTGCTGCTTCTAAGGTGTGACAACGCTGCCCATGACCCTTTGGCTGCAAGAAACCAACAAGATCATTTTGCCGTTGCCCGTCGCGACTGGCTGCAATTCTTTCTGGCCTTCACTTGGCTCTGGAGGGTTTTATGTCTTCCCCTGGCAGTTGGTGCTCTACCAAAGCGAGGGCTTTGACGAAGCAGGCTGGCCAAAGTCTTTAGATCCAGAAGATCTCGTGGTAGAGGACTTGGCATGGCGCATCCGCTTCAAGCCCAAGCTGAAGGCCATTCCAGGAGAGACACCCGAGGCCCCTCCGATTGAGGAGCTCCGAGCCTCCTTCTACTTGGAGTTCCGGCCCATCTTCCGTGATCCGGGACCTCCGAAGCCTAGCTCCACAACCTTGACCACCACGCCAAAGCCCTATGATAGCCGAAGGAGAGGCTGGAGGCCTCCTCCTGACCTGGTACCACGACAGGTGGTAGAGTGGTGCGTGGCATTTGGGATTTGCTGCGTGGAGCAAGTTGTTGTTGCAAACCCCCTTTGGATTTGCGTGAAATGTTGTGCAAGCGGGTATTGCCCAACTTGCCCCTGCCCTTGCCAAAAAGGTCAGGTCTACCTTTCTTCCAATGTCTCCAACACTTCTATGGGCATCAGCCTACGAAAGAAGCCCTTGGCGTTGGAGGAGATTGACACTCCAGGTGAATCTGAGCAGGACCTGTTTGACAGGAGAAGAAGAAGCCGGAGGAGGAGGAGCCTGACGATTCCCAGTGGAGTGCTCTTCGACACGCCTGAACTGCATAGTTTGCTTTCTACAGAGGAGATGCAAAGGGTGAAAGAATTCAAGAGTTCCACGGATTCACCAGTGGTTCCTCCAGAGGGCATATTGGTGAAGGACGCTTTCAAATGTCCAGAACCTTTCATTATTGGTGGCGGCTGTGAGTGTCTTGATGGCTGCTCCCCTGCGCCGTATATTGACCAGCGCATTGATGGATATACAAGGCTCTTATGTAGCGTCAAATTCCCGGCGCCGCCGGATTTGGTCACAGCTGGTAAGATCATTTGTGCGGTTGACCGGCCGATTGTTCGCCAGAAAGTGCAGGGTCTTCTCTCACAGCCTGAGGGCATCACTGCAACCTGCCCAGATGGTGCCAGAGTGATCGGTGGCTCATGCAACATGGCTGCGGAGGGCAACGAGGCTTTCGAAACGGCTTTTCCTGTGGATGAGAGGAGCTTCTACTGCTCAGGGGTGGGTGAGATGGCGGCCAAGCCTGTCAAGGTTGCAACGGCCACAGCATATTGCCTCGAACCACAAGGCAACGAGGATGTGAAGATCATTAAGGTCCAAGGTCGTGCCAATGCTTCTGCCAAGTGCCCGGAAAGCTACCAGCTGGTGGGAGGAGGTTGCAACTTCTTAGATGGCTATTCATTTTCCCTACGGCAGTCCTACCCAACTCAGCAGAACACCTGGGAGTGCAAATTTGAGACCACATTCAAATGTGGCCCAAGCAGCCCAGATTGCCTGCTGAGTGAGGCCAGAGCAGTGTGTATGGCCGTCTTGTCTTAGATTGGTCTATGGCGCGGTTAGATTTTTGTGACAAAGCTCACATTCAACCTGTGACATGTCATCTCTGCGGTGTGCACGGGTGTAGTCTTCCTGACGTGGCTCACACTCAAGATGTAGCATGTCATTCCAAGTGCACCACCATTTTGCTGCAGAGGGCAGAGGGCAGGGGAGTCTTTGAAAGAAGCGTCAAACATTTGAACATTCTCCAGCAGTGGGCAAGTTCTTACAGTAGACTCATTAGACCCTAGCAGCCTCTTTGGTTTCAACAGGATTTTCTACTACACTCCCAGAAATAATCATGGAATATCAACGAGTGTAGATGTCATGGCCCTGAAAAGATCATCTTCTTCTACGACATACACCGAGAATCTGGGGCCTGGTGAGGGGGTTTGCTTGTTTGAGCCAGGGCTCCTGTAGATGCTACAAGACGTCGAAAGACCTGGGATGCGGAAGGCCCCACAGGTGAAGCATAGTAAGTTCCCCGCGGGGTGAGCATGAATGATCAACTGAAGATTCAGAGTTTATCCAGTTCACCATGCACTTTTGCTCAGGCGGTCCAACGATGTGCGTTGGAGAGATGGGCATGAAGCAGGAGGTGGCATGGCGAGAGACTTAGACAAGCTAAAAAGTATTCCATCAGTTTGGTGCTTGTTTTGCTTGACACACACTCGGGAAATTATATATATATATAGTTCGTACGGTCTGAATGCCGTATGCCACACGGAAACCTAGGTGAAAAAACCTAAGAAACCAGGTATGGGTGGTGTACATGCTCAAGGTGTCAATTGTCACTTTTGAATTCAACAAATGTTTGGTTCGGCTTCCAACCGACAACTTCTGTACCACATGCGTGTGGTGCATGTGTGCAACATGCAGCACACTCAACGTCTGGCAACTGTATCTCCAAGTTCAGATATCCATACCACCATCGAAATCGAAGCAACCAATTTCGAGTTTGCCTTTTGATTGTCAGAAGAAATACCAAGTGGTTCCAAAGCTGTACCAGACCAAAGAATGGTACATGGGTTCCAAAAGCAGGTACTTGTATAGGCGTCCCTGCACACCTCCAGCGAGACTGCATAGCTTCATTGGGTACGGTTTGCAGTCTGATGCAATCCCCCCTGCAGAAAAAGGAACGGCACGTGTTTTCAAATTGTACCAGACCAGACAGAATGACACACGGTTCCAAAACTGTACCAGACCAGAAGGAATGGTAAGAGTTCCAAAGTTACAAGTACCAGACCAAAGGAATGGAACGTGGTTCCAAACTGTGCCAGATCAGAAGAACTGGTACAAGGTTTCCCCGTGCTCAAAGGAAACATGCCAACCGGCACCCTGTGACTCCAAAGGTTACACACAAACAGCAGTACAGCAGTTGGTGGAGCAATTGTTTTACTGTACTGTAATCTGACAGACGCATTACCAGCGCGTAAGATTTCATTTGCACGCATGCTGTTGTGGGGGAGAGGGTGAAATGAAACATGCAAGAGAATCAAAAAGCAGGCTTGTCGAAAGAAACGATCGGAAAGCGTACATATATGAAGGGGAATCGACGAGGTGTCCAAGAACCATGAGGCCATGAGGATGGTTGCGAGAAGTCAGGGGTTTAGATAGGCATATGAAGATGCTGATATGTCCTTGCCCATCCCTGCCAACATTTCAAGCCTGCCAGAAGCTGAGGGGATGACCCAAGACCAGCGTTTTGAATCGCTCACGCTTGTGGTGAAAAGCTGTGTGAAAGCTCCGGTCCATGAAGGACAGCTTGCATTTAACTCACACTTCCAAAAATGCAGGCAATGCTGGTGATGCTCCAGTGTCAGTCAATTTCTTCTTTCTACGCACTGTTTCATCAATAAATGCAATTAAACACGCCAGGAAACCAATGAGTCGAGGGGACCGGAGGGGACCTGAAACACACCAGAATTGGACAAAGCCACAACGGCATTTGGGAAACGGCTTCTTGAAGAGGAGCAAGAGCTGCCCGCAAATGCACTGATGCACCAGGCAGACCTTTAGGCCGATATTCCTTTCCATATTTGGAAGAGCTCAGGATCTGTTTGTGATCCATTCACTGAGACTTTCCGTCCCGCTCAGTGTTTCTCTCGAGAATTCCGACTTGGAGGTGCGACTGGTACCTGGCCATGGACTCGTTTGTTCGGGCTGATCGCCGCCAGTGAACACGCTGCTTGGCCCAGAGGTGTGGGCGAGGCAGGGAATGCCGTTGTCGCCTAGGATGGTGTTCGGAAGTTCGGAGTTGTCCCCGTGCCCTGGTCTTGGATACAATATGAGTTTGTTGAAAGCAATCTCTTTGCAAATCCCTGTACTCTGCTGATTGCTTCCGGAGAAGGAAAACGGTGTCACACAATTGGTTCTCGTGTCCGAATGATTTGCCCAGTCACCATCTGGTCCCATGCATGAATCATTTCATGAACGCTCAGGAGATGGTGACAATTGAATGTTGCCAAGTTAGACTAGGTTACAGTAAATTGAGGTTGACATTGACGCCTCTAAATGAGCTTCAAACATACTTACAACATGTGAGTGCTCGTGATATCAACCGCCACTTTCCGTCAAGGCACAGCTCGGCCACCAAGCATGCGGGAACCACGGACGATTATCCACTACACAAAGGCAATCAAGCATTCTTTGAAAGGCTCGAAGGGAGTGGGAGGAGGCAGATTGGGCCAAAGGGTGCGTAGGGCAGAGTCTCAATCCGGATCGAAAAGGCAGAGTCTCAAGAAACCTCCCCAAGGGCTGCGGATCACGCTTTGCTCGCTTGAACATACTATCTCATAAGATCTGGGCTAACAAATCCGAGTGTGTTTTCCGATGCTAGTGAAAGACACAGAAGTAGGACAAGCTGGGCACTTTGCAAAGATTAGGACCACAAGCGGACGTCAGGTGCTTGGTCCTCTTCACTACTCCTCTTTGCGGAGGTTCAGACTCAAGGCACGAATCGTTTGTTGTGTGACACTCTTTGGAGATGCGACAGACTTAGGACGATGTGCGACATGGGACCACGTAGCAGAAAACCGACCGAAGGATACCAGTACTGACGGATCTGAAACATGGTACTGCAGGCTGCAGGATAACGAAAAACACATTCATCGAATTCTGATGTCATTGTCCGAGTGCACAATAAAGTGGTGAGTGTTGTGATCTGTGATGTGGCTACGTGCAAATGTGGTGAAGTTTAATGGTGCAGTTGTGGGTCGCTCTCTCTATGGAGTCTTGTGTTTGCAGCATCCATCACCACGCAACAGAACGTCAAACATACGCGAGCACACACGTATATTTATATACATATATGATATATGTATATAACATGAAAGGTTATGTTTTCGAGACTTGAAAGGTGTGGCCTTTGACCCAGTGTTAAGAGGGATAACAAGGTATTTGCCCTGCCGAAACAATGATCACCTTGTGTAACACCCGAGCATCTCCTTAACTCCTCAAGAATCACCCCACACAATCCTAGCTAAAGCTATTCGCTCTTGCGATGCTAGCAGCAGTTCATGCACATCCACCACCGTCTGTGCGCGCGGATGTACTACTTATGTACGCTGTCCAAACAACAGTGATAGGGGATGAGGGCAAGAGTTATATCCATCTGAACACATTCACGTGCATACCTTGTCACCTCATCTGACCAAGGTTTGCGTTTAGATCGAATTCTGATCACTGAGACTTGCAAGATGTTGGGCAGATTTGGCGCGTGGCGTTCATCTCACAACCTGCTTGGTTGCAGCTTTGAAGAAGCCTGGTTGTGTCGGTGAAGTAGGCAAGACGTCAGGAGCATGGGGATATGCAGTTGTGCTGAATCAAAGGAAGACCTTCTGTTGTAGATGTTGATAGCTATATTTCAGTAGTTACAGTAGATTTCTTTCACGGTGTCACTCCAGGTCCCCAAAGCTTGCACAGAAGCAGTCCATGTCTTTGCGAAGATGTGTGTTGATCATATAAGCTTGCAGCATTTGGACCGAAAGAGGAGCATGACCCATAAGGTCACAAAGCTCTGCAGACAGAGGCAAGCTGGAAGAACTCGGCGATCTTGTGATTGTTTAGAACGTCCATGTGCAAAGGTAAGGTGCAACTGGACATGATCACCTACACGACTGCAATCAATGCCTGTGAGACTGCGCCACCTGGCTAAAATGTGCTTTTGAGGAAAGAACAAATGCTTTTGAGGAAAGAACAAATGGGTGGGAGGTTCAGCAACCCAGGGGACAGAGGTGGTTTCAATATCTGTCCAAGACCTTCCGGGCGGAACGTGAGCATGTGTATTGGAGAGTTGGTCACATGCCTGATCATTTCAGGTTTCTCAAAGCATCCGTCCCACTTGAAAGGTAGACAACATATTGATCGCAAAGAAGCTCTCAGCTGTCAGCAACTGCCGTTCCGGATGTCCCACGTCCAGTGCTTTCATTATGTACCGACTTGACCATATACGACAGTTGAAAGCATTGAGGCCAACCCTGAAGCCAATTATTGCGACAGTAATATTACTACTGTAGTGTATATTTTGCAACTGTTGATTATGTTGATTTGATTTTCATCTTGTGCGCAATGTTCACACGGGGTCAATTTTAACTTCGCAAGCTTAAATTCATTTAATTCCCATGATCCAAAAGCCCAAAAGTGAAGCTATCGACAACACGAAACAGCAGATGACGCAGCCAAAGCGAAGTTTGCAGATGAAAGACCACGCAGAGTTCGCTTCACTATGCCATGCAATCCCTCATCAACAAACGGAAATGGACCAAGACATTGCAGGTTATCATGGTATCCTGTAGCTAAATAAACTTAATTAAAAAGTTTTGAAAAAGATCCCAAGAAAAACAACGTCGGTGTGACCCTCGAGGAAACTTTTGATGCATTGGCTGCAACTTTGGTTTCACCAATTTCTTTCGATGTGTTGTTCAAGTTGGAAGGGTCACTTCCAGTCATTACAAGAGACAGATTATGGGGTGAATTCTGGACCCATCAAGTTTGGGATTGCTCCAACCTTGGACGGCCAATTGAGTCTGATTCAGTGAAATCCACAGATGATGGGTGTCCGTCGTGGTACGAGTTCTCTATCCCCTTCCTGAACACAGGAGATCTATGAATAGTCAAGCAGCAGATGGCTTGCGACTTTATTACTCAATTCTTGTCGACGTTCAGCAAGACGAATGTGTTTCCTGTCTATAAGCCACTTAATTATAACTCGATGAGCATGATCCAACTGCATTTTGGATCCACCAATGTGGTTGGTTGGTCCAAACGTCCAGAAAATGCTGCGTGGCAAAGAAAAAAGCGGACAACTTTTGGCTCCGAACACCGACAACTGGTGATGTCACACGAATGTCACGTGCCATGTCAAATACAAGTAGCGACCTCTTACGCCTTGTATCACGCTGGGAACAGGTAAAAAAGGCCTAGAAATGACATGACATGACAGTGCTGTCACTGAACGTTGTATAACATTTGTCATATATTGTAATGTGAACAGTCAAATGGCGCAGTTCGCTTCCGGCACGCAGAATCCAGGACACCCAAAACCCCGCGCACGAGAGACCAAGCGAGCACATGACAGGCACAAACGAATGAACTGCGAATTCAAAAACCAAAGCGACGGTGTCCACCCTAGTAGCATGGCCTCCAACCTAATTGCGATGGCCTCCAACTTAATTGCGATGAATGGGGCAGCGAGTTTTGCGTGCGTAACGGCTCGGACACGCAACTGATTCTGAACACGTGTATCAAAAAGCAGTAGATGTGACGTCCTGAGATCATGCGAGGTGCAAGCATGTTTTTTCTGAACAAGTGGGTATTTGGTCACACGATATCCTCATCTCACAATGCCACATATTTTCTCAGGAACTGGCAGGATGCCCTGGGTCTTCTGGTGGCATCCAGCCAAAGCTTTTCTTCACAGGACGGGAGTTTTTCAACTCGTTTTTCACCGTGAAGAACCGGAACGCTTGACCGTTGTTCATCCAGTAACAAAGTGCCTTACTAGTAGTAGCAAGAAGCTACTAGGAACAAGTGCCACGCTAGTAGTAAGAATTGCCTTACTAGTAATAACAAGAAGCTATTCTTTGAACCGGATCTGACGGAGTCGGTTTTCGGCTCGGCGACCGAGTGGAGCACATCGAGGACGTGACATCCGATCACACCAACCTGAAACTGCGACCTACTGCTGAGACGTCCTAATAGCGATGGCCTCCACCCTAGTAGCGATGGCCTCCAACCTGAGCCTCTAAAGGTCAGCTTATTTTCTTCCCTAAACATTTGGGAAGCCAAGACACCCCGCTGGTGGGGAGAAGAGCCCTCGCTCGCCTGCATTGCGGATGCTGTCATGGTAGCTTCTTCGCTGCTTCGCTCAATTCTGAGGACCTGATTGCCATTAGTGCAGCTGCCAACACCTTGGGAAGTCGCGGCCGATGGCTGGAGGTCGTGGAGCTCCTGGAGGACGCACTGGGGTAGTCAGATGCTGCTTGCGTTGGGTAAAGGATCCCAGTGATTGGAGGATGCAAAACTGCGTTTATATACTCTCCTTAAGGCAAGCGTTAAATATGTACGACTTGTGCCTCAAGTTCTACGTTAATCTGAAGCACCAGGAGTGTAATGAATGTAATTATTGTAATTATATATACATAATGTAGACTAGTCGCTATGCTGCACTAGGATTGCTCACGCTGGACGATGATTTGTATTGATTTGTTTCTTCAACGAGCCATGAGGAAGTGTGCAAGATGTTTCTGAAGCTCGGAAGGTGCTAGGTAAAATCTTTTGAGGTTGGCACGACATGGATGTGCAGACAGAGTATGGTACTGAGATGAACCGTTCCAAGGTGGAACGCTGAGTCACTCGAACTCCTACATTTGCGCAGGGTGGGGCACCGGTGGATGCCACCGCTCAGAACATCCAGCTCAGTGCATGTGGCTGGGTCTTAAGCTTGGTCGACCCTCAGATGTTTGAACAAGGCGAACAAAGACCTCACTTCTGGCCCACAACTTTGGCTTGCTGTTCGCAATGCAAAGCTATTTTGCATAGCCGGTTCCTACTTTTTGCAGGTTGTTGAGTTTGAACAGACCTTTAGGCTACCCTCTAACAGCATTGAGCCGCTCGTATGCTTCTCAGGCGAGAAGGGCCAAGAGTGGTGCCAAGCGATGTGCTCTGGCAGCGGTAGACTCGGTAGGTCCAAAGGAAAACAAACCTCTGATGCCCGGCTTCAGTCACTTTTAAATCACTTGAACTCAACATGCAAGGGCCTTAAGTTGAAGTGCAAGGGGCCATGCTTCCTCTCTGGCAAGCGACTCAGTGGAACTTATGTCAGCAGGCATAGAGGCGCTTGCACATTTGCATGGTGTCTCTGATTGTGAACCAACTTCCTGAAGTACCTTTTGCCAAGCCGTAATATACTATCATATACTCTATCTTCACCTTGCTTGCCGAAGAGTGTGAGAGAGAGCGGGGCAGATTCTCCTGCAACCACTGTAGCAGAGGGTTTCGAGCTTTGTGAACTTCTTGTCAGGGACCGCTTTCAACTGGCGGCTTGGCGTGGCCTCAGCTCCAATGCTATTTGCTACCATGCCACCATGAGTGCCTGTGGTGCACGGGAGAAATGGCAGTGTCTCGGCCGTTCAAGACGTGAGTGAATGACAGGGAGTGGAAAGTTCCGAAGGCAGCTGTGAGCCGGTGCCTCGCAGTGCCTCGCAAGGAGAGGTGTGTTGCCCAGATTTGCCCAGTGTGCACTCCACATGACAGGCACTGGTTCCCTAGATGATCCAAATTGTTTGACATTGCTTTTTGGTGCTTTTGTGCCAATTTGTCCGGTGCAAGCCAGTTTAACGTGCACAGTCTTGAGAAAGCATGTTTGAATCCTCAATCATGCTTCGCTTATCCGGCGGCTGAACATATCGTCTTTTTTTGCACAGGTGGAAGGGATGGATGTGACTGCAATGCAATTTTGCAAAAGACCAGCGATGCCGGACATTCGGTTTTCCAATGTTTTCTTGATCCACCCTTGTTTTCTCTGGGTTTTACCCCAGGCACGTGCTCCAGCTTTTCGATGCCTTCGGTGCCCAGCAGCTTCAAACGAACATCGTCACCTACGGCGCTTTGCTGAGTGGCCTGGAGAGCGCCGCCCAGGGCTCCGCAGGCTCCGGCGTGCGCTGGCGACAAACGCAGGAGGTGCTGTGTGATTTGCCACTCAGCCACAGCGGCCGTCCGGTCAGCGATGAAGCCTCAAGAGTCAAGAGAAGGGGGAGGGCTTGGTGAGCCTTAAAAACATCAGGTGAGGGCTCTTGGGGTGGTGGGCATTGGGCGAGATCTTTCAAGTTGGAGAACCTATTGACTTTGAAGTGATGTGACTTTGCAAAGTGCCAGAGTGAAACAGAAGATGAAGTCAAGTTTTCATGTCACCATAACCGTAACTGTATCCAGGACGAGTACCGATTCTTCGCATTGCTTGACCAGTTGGTTCTCGAGCAATTCCCATTGTGGGATCGTTGTTTGGCAGGTGTTCCCAAATCGTCCAACTTGGATTGAATCACATATCCTTCCTTGTGTTGGTAGTATTGGCACTGACGCCATTTCAGCTTGTGAGGTATCAGAATCAGCTCGAAATCAATCTAATTTGCACCAATGCTGCAATGAGTGCGTGCGAGAAAGGACTCTCAGATGTATTTTCGTCAGCCTTTCATCCTCAAGCACGCAAGCCTCCTATGCTTTTGATACATGTTCGGTGAGACTTTCTTCTTGCAGATTGGCGATTTCAACACTCGAGATTTGGAGGTCAGAATCCAACTTCCGACCAACGGCTCGATCAACTCGCTGGCGCCATTCCAGGAGCTCAATGGCCTATGGCTTCGCTCTTGCTTGACTCATTAGAAGCAGTGTATGTGGAGACCAGCCGCATTTCTCAGTCCTCTGCCTTTTGGATGGACTACAGGTCTTCACGGTCTTCACGGGAATGTTAGGCCATAACATGGCCCTATTCTTGAGCCCTGCGGTCCCTGCTGTTCATTGCTGGCTCTTGTGCGTTTGTGCGTTATTTGTGTTGGATATATAAGAAACATATGAGATCCTCAGACAAGGATGTCCTTTCAAGAGCTAAGCATTTGCAATGGGTCACTTAGTTGTGAAGGGTCCCAGATAATGCAAAAGCACCAGAGAGGTTGGTCACCAAGCGGAACTCAGCTCAGGTGCTCAGCTCTTCGATGGACTGGGCTTTAGCCATGAGGCTCTTCTTGGGCTCGGAGACCAGGCACCAAGCTCATCAGGGAAGAATGAGAAAAGATCAGACAAAGACATGCTCAGACTCAGACATGTTCATGAATTCCATTGGATTCCCAGACTTCACTGGACTTCATCACAAATGTCATGAGTCACAACAGGCTCATGTTGCTCTTTTCACCACCCGTGTGATCAAGTTGAGACTGGTGGAACAGGCGCTTCCTGCCCAGCATCCTGGACTTCCAAGCACTCTTGGGCGCTTGCAGCACTGGAGGTGCCTGTGGCGTCTTGGTGCGCTTCCTGCCATGCCTGCGAGAGCTGAGCTTCCAATGGGTGAAAAAAGGTGGTGGGAAAGTGGTGTGTTCAAAGGCTATTTGTCTCCAAATGAGAAGACCCCCACACCAGGAGGTTCTATCTGATAAATGGCTCTGCTGATAATGTCGAAAGAGAGACAAAAAAGTCCAGATTGGTTGGGTTTTTGGGCTGGTTCGAAAAAAGGCACTCGAATCAAATATCCTCAATGGATCTGGGAAAGTAGGAAAGCATGCAAAAATCCCAAGACAAACAACTCCTTCTATTCACATGATCATCGCTCATCGGGGTGAACGATCGCCACGACGGAGACGGAGACTGTGGAGACTGTCCCGTGGCGTCCCCGAGACGGGACAGTGTCCATGGGATATTCAGACTTTGTTGATCCATTCAGACTCAATGAGCGACATACAGAACAGCCTTGGGAGCTGGGGGCGTGACTGAAGCGGCCCCCCAAAAGACTAAACACAAAAGCAGACTTCGGCTCAGAATCAGACCTGGCGGGTAAAATCTAGTGACAGCCACTTCAAGTTGGCATAAGCCTGTAAGCCCTTCTGGCCGCTGGATCTAGAATCTAGTTGATGCCAACCTTGGCACATTTCCCAGCGATTCATTCTAGAGCCACAGTTCCATCTACAGAAGCACCCGCCAAGACCAGGAAATCTGCAGAGAAAGGGTGGAACAGGTAGACATGAACTGCTCACAGTTCTTAGTAGCAAAGGCATTTGGAACCTGACGGTAACTCTGTGGCAAGCTACAAGAGATTCAATCCGACCTGCTTGCGAGTCCTGGCCGGATTCGCCATGGGGAAACGTTGCGATCTCAGAGCACAACCTGGCCAATGAGAATTGGGGTGCTATTTGTGCTATGGAAATCACATGAAATAACACATGTTCTTTTGTGTTTTTCGGCCGCGGATTGGTGTTTGGACAGACGATTTTCAAGCCTATGTCTATGCTACTCAGACTAGTCATGACCAGTGATTCCAAGTGCGGCACAAGTACAAGTGCTGATTTTATACATTGCGCTCGTCCAGGCTCGCCATCGCCGCAGGCCAGTCGGAACTGGAAAGGTCGTGGTGCGATATGTCCTGAAACATTCGCGGTGCAAACTTTGCTGCAGACCAGAAAACTTCCTCGGCCAGGTATTGTCATGGACCTGCAAATGACTACTGTAGCTTGTCTTCGATGATGTTGTACTGGTACTGACTCCCCAACATGTCCTAAATAGTTATACAGAATTAGCAGTGAACAAGCTTTGATCTTTCGCATTGTTTGCAGGCATTGTCTCCCTTGCCGAGGAAGACCAAAAAGGCCATTTCGACAGCCAGTAAAGTGTTGTACAGACTGTGTATATACACAGTTAAAGGGTTACTGTATATATTTAGAATCACCCTGAGGATGAAAGTAAAAGCCATCTCGCCTGGAGGATGCATTTGTTGGGCTGATGTCTTTGACTTCCTCGCACACATTCACGCAAAACTTTGCAGACTGATCTACCCTCCTCCAAACAAACATGGAAGTTGGAAAGAACACCGCTTGATAGTGGACAATTATCCAGGGTCCACTTCCATGATTGTTGGAGGGAGAGAGTAGTTCTAAAAGAAGGCAGAATCTCATTCTTTGAAGACACCTGCAAACAATTTGCTGACATTTACAACCTATTTAAACAATATACATATGAGTCCCAACGGATTTCATGTGGTCCTTCCAACTTTCAAGCAGGTCGCACCACCGCCGCTCAAGCTTCAATTGGGAAGGGGTTGCCCTCGGTGTGGCTTTTGCGCTTTGTAGCCATAGGGCAGCTGTCGATAGGTAGGTTGCTGGCACTGGACCTGTGTCATGTCACCGATGGTATCCATTCGTTCTGTTGATCATGCGGTCATGCTGCTTTAGTTTTCAGACCTGCCATCACTGATGGCTCAAGGCGGATCACTCCGCTCGGGGGACAAAGGCTGTCGTGGCCGCTGGGTTGGTAGGCGGGTGCCACAGTTGGTAGCGGAGCCTGAGCCATGGAGATCGCTCTCGATACTGTACCCCCTCCGGCCAGTGGACCGCGACGACCACTCACCAGAGCGGGGATGATGGTTGGCATTGGCAGGCCCCGCGCGATGACTCATGGTGGACTAGAGAGGGAGCAGCCGTCGAATGGGGTCACGGCTACAGAATCCCACTGGCCACAAGGGTCACCAGGGGCGCAGGACCCTTTCCTTTCGCAGGATCCATGGGCTCCCACAGCAGCAACTACATCCTCGACTACGCCCAACACCACAACGTCGACTCCTCCTGGAACCAGTTCGGTGCCGACAGGCCTGGATCAGCCCTCCTGGTCAGGTCCGACACCGCCTACTACCTCGTCGCCTCAGGTGGCAGCAAACCCCGAGTTTCTG